TAGATAGATAGATAGATAGATAGATAGATAGATAGATAGATAGATAGATAGATAGATAGTGAACCCATGGATTTTAGCACAATGTGGGGTAAAGCTAGTGCCACCAAGTTACCATTCAGTGCTGTGAGGAAAAATTCTTGGATGCATTTTATACAACAAACTAGTCTTGCATGGGCTCCTGAAAAATCCAGAGCTGCATGGTTATGAAAGTGCTGGGAAAGCCAATTGCTTGGCACAGACTTGAAGCCCAACAGCACCATAAAGAGTATTCGTTTCACTCTGTGAAACAGGAAAATGGGCTTTCACTCTGTAAAGCAGGAAAATGGGCTTTTGATTAGAAGGGCATCTCAAACCAAAATCCGTGGGGCCTCGTGTGCTGGGCTGATGTAACCCCCGGAAATTGACCTGAGATGGCCAACTTACATCCCCAAACACCATTTGCAGAGGAGGAGTGGGCACTGTGTTCCTTCCAGCCATGGGAAGGTTCCAGTATCCCTGTTCTATCACCACTCCTGGACAACCCAGTTTCCATGAAGTCATGAAATTCTCACCACTCTCTAATTTATCCAATCATGTGTTTAATTATGTTCTTGTTACTGCACTGTGAACTCCACAAGAGTAGGACCATGTCTCTCCTGATCTCCTCATCTATAGCACAGGTCTTGACGCTTCATAGAGGCTCAATGAACATTGCTGGATTAATAAACCCATTCTTTGGACAAAACAAAACTTTTTTACAAAAAAATGTAAACCAATGTAAAAAATGTAAACAATGTTTTCATTTCCCTTCTCAGCTGCACTACAAGACTGAGAATTACAGATTAAGGAAGAAGCAAAAGAGACAGTGCATTTGAAATCTTCTGCACACTTTAAAGAACTGTACAAATGTTGGTGAATATCATTACCATGATCTGAAAAGTGCATGGGAAACTAGTTAACTTCTAAGTAATGGCTTCATCATATTCCCAACTTAATAGATGATTTTGAAAATAAAAATCAGCCAGCAGTTGGCACTTCAATAAGTGGATTAAGGCATATTTGTGTTTATATTATGTAGCAACCTCCCTCATTTTATGAAAGTATAATGCTAATGAAAAGTAAAACACAACCCCAATCATAGGGTCAAAGCCTTTCAGAGCTGGAAGGGAACATAAGTCAAGTATTCTATATCTATCTTCTTACAGATGCAAAAACTGATGCCCAAAGAGGTAAAGCGACTTGGCTAGCTTCACATAACTAATTCTTCAAAGAACCAGGACAAGATCCTTTGTCTTCTGGCAGACTTTCCTCCTCTACATCATGCTAGGTCTGAATTTCTGATTGTGTTGGTCATTGTCAGACAATGACTGGTGTCTGGCTTTTCAATGTAAAGTCAATAGCCCCAATGCAAAAGTTAAATCAACATTGCACTCAGTGTCAATGATAACAAATTATGCTGCTTCAACCTAACAAAACTGGCCTCTACCTGCAGATGGCTTTTTCTTTCCTTCTTCTCCCCCTCTTTCCCTTCCCTTCAAAACCCACACTTGTCCTGGATACCCCAATGCAAATGCCAGTCCAGAAAACTTCAGCAGCTAAATGCCAGTCAGAGCAAAGCCCTATTCTCAGCCACAGTAATAAAGCAGTTGAAAATGCTGTGCGTTCAAGTCACAAAAGGTATGATTTCTGCCTGAGATTGTCCAATAACAGAAATGAATAATGGTTCTTTGCCTGAAAATACATATTGATTGTTGGCTGTGAATTTCACCGTGGATAATGCTGAAGTCACCATCCTTCAAAGGTGTGTGAATTGAAGTTGCTGTTACCTAATCCTTGCAGAATGATTTGTAGCAAGAGACAAGACAAGGTAGGAGAAATGTCTACGTGTAGGTCAGGCTGGACCTTCTCCAACCAATTTTCCATCTCGGATTATTTGATCTTCACTTCTAAGGTCCCAATTTATTACATGCAAAGGACAGATTGATTGCCTGCATTTGACTAAGATGAAGGCAGCTTCATACTCTTGAATCTTTTGCAGAACTTAATTCTTCAAAATCACCCCATATTCGCAGGCCCAGACACTATTGACCAACTTAAATATCTGCTGGCCTGACCTACCCCAGGCTGTATGTACTTTCCCTTTGCCTGTGAATGGGAACCAAATGGAAACCAGCACATACTCCTGGCTGTCATTAATTCTCCTCAAGCCAAACCAAACTTCATTTTAGTTCCTCAAATGCAGCAATAGTTCTTTGATATTTTTCACTTTCTGGTGCTTAAAAGCATTAAGGATTACTAGCTAATTTGGCTACTAGAATACTTTTAAATCCTGCAGAATGTGGTCGATTGGTCATAGATAATTAACAGAGGAAGAGAACAGTGTCCGAGTGTCAGCTTCATGTTACTCTAAACTCTGAGCAACTAGGACATCAGGGTCTGGTAAGCTCAGAAATTCTAAGTGTGTGAAGCTTCTTACAGGGTAGAATTCAAAGGGCTCCTAAAGTTTCCTTAATCCAGAACCCTCTTCCAGCAATCTATTATGATACCTAAAATTTTACCATTAAAGATTTGTTTCAGGCCAGGCACAGTGGATTGTGCCTATAAGCCCAGCACTTGGGGAGGCTGAGGCAGGAGGAACACTTGAAGCCAGGAGTTTGAGACCAGGGCCAACATAGCAAGAACCTGTCTCTATAAAAATAAAAATAAAAGAATTAGCTGGACATGGTGATGCATGCCTGTAGTTCCAGCCACTCAGGAGGATAAGGCAGGAGGATCGTTAGAGCCAGGGAGTTTGAGATCATAGTGAGGTATGTTTGCGCCACTGTACTCCGGCCTAGCTGACAAAGTGAGACCCTGGCTCCAAAAAAAAAAAAAAAACGTTGTTTCATTCGAGTTCAATCAAAGTGAGGTCTCTGAATGGCCCTTGTAAGAATCCCAGAAGCTCTGAGAGGGCTAGCTATTATCTCCACCTTAGCAGAGGTAACTTCTAAGTTGACAGGCACTCAGCACAAGCATTTATGAGAATATGAAACATCCAGATTGGAGAGAGACATGAAGAGTAGGAAATGAGTCACAGAAAAGAAGTGAAGAAGGCACTCAGGTACCACTTCCCAATTTAGTCCAGACTCTGCTCAAGGAAAACACCCATCCAATTTATAAGAGAAATCAGTACCAGTGAAATGTCCAGAGAATAGAAGTGATAAAATTCCACATGACATTCTTGGAACGTTTTTTTCTAGAGACAGAGTCTCACCCTGTTGCCCAGGCTGGAGTGCAGTGGCTGAATCATAGCTCACTGCAGCCTTGAACTCCTGGGCTCAAGTTATCCTCCCATATAGCTGGGACTACACGAGTGCACCACCACACCGGTTAATTTTTTTATTTCTTATAGAGACAGAGTCTCACTATGTTGCCCAGGCTGGTTTCAAACTCCTGAGCTCAAGCAATCCTCCCACCTCGGCCTCCTAGAGTGCTGGGATTACAGGTGGGAGCCTCCATGCCCAGCCTCCTGGAACTTCAGTAAATCCTAAAGTAGGTTTTTATGCCTTTTCATTCCTGTAACTCACATCATTGGTTGCCACCAGGTGCCTAATCAGGGAAATTGGGACAAGTGGGTAGATACACTTAAGGCAAAGAGAAGTTAAAGAGGAGAAACGTACCGTTCAACATAATCGAGTGTCATTAAAAGATTTTTAAATGCTTTCTATAGTCAGCCAGACAAATCAGTCGACTTCACCTTCTTTTTTTAAAGTATAAAAAATTGCTGCTAGAGTGGGGAAAAAATCTCTTTGGATACATTAGTGCTTTATCATTGTCATCAGCTCTTGCTTTGTCTAACTAATGACTTAATCATCTCTCTCCCTCTGATCCAATCATCTTTCTTCTACCCCAGAGTTGGAGGAGAGTCGATTTCCTCATACTCAGACAGTATTTAGAACCTGGGCATAATCCTGGCCTCTTTATCAACTCTTTTCAGGAAGGCTACTAACTGAAATTCTTCTACTGTAAATGAAATCGATAATAGCCCAGAGCCCATATTCACTAACTCTCCTTCCTGGCTTGTTTTACGTAACTATTATAAAGGTAATACTGAACTGCTGGCATCCCACCTATTTAGTATGTGTCTGTTTTACTGCTTCCCATTTCTACTACTAATAGAAACAGTTTGTCTCTTGTGTTTTATGGCACCAAAACCTTGAAATGATCTAATGTAACTGTCATCATTTGATCCACTGGCTTTGATTAAAAAAAAAAAAAAAAAAAAAAAAAAAACCCGCTGGGGATAAATTCTCCAAATGCTCTTCTCTCTATCTTTGAAGGTACCTCATTACCCATTGCCCCTTCTTCAATCCTATCTCAGGGAAAATACTATACCCCTTTCTCTCTGAGACATAGTATTTCCACTTCCACTCTTCCTTGGCCTTGTCCGTTTTGCCTCCTGCTGTATCTTGAAATACGAACTTTCTAACCCTAAACCGCCACCCTATAAATGCTTCCTGTCCTCTGCGTTCTCACTCACAGCCTCTAAATATGCATCTGAGTCACCTAATTAAAACATCTCAACCTTCCCTCCATGTAAAAAGTGCAGACACTAATTCAATGACTACTTTGTATCCTTTAAACAATATATCTAGAGTGGCAGGCACATAGTAGATGCTCACAATGTGGTCGTTCCTTTTCCCTAACTGTGGTGGATTTGCTTCTCAGCCTTCCAGCCATAGCTGAGGGAGTGCAGCACTGTGAAAGGGGAACAGGCAGATCTTTAGAGTCATGCAGACCAAGGTGTCCTCCCCAGCTCCCCCACCTGCCGTCATGTCTGTAAAATGGTGTGGGTTGTTGATATCTCAGTCAGATTCTGTATAGTGAATTAATGTGGGGTTTTCCTCTCTCCCACCTTCAAGGGCAGGGACCATGATCTCAATTATCTTTGTATCAATCTTCAGTTCCAAGAGACATGCCTGACAAAAAGGAGCTCTTCAGCACATGTTCGTGGAACCAACATGCAACAGAGATAACCGAAGATGATATTAAAGGTAATATCAGACACCATGGGGATAAGAAGGGGACGAGGGAAACTAGGTTTTCAGAAGTGCCAAGAAATTCCTGGAAGTCAAGAGCAACTGTCCAGAAATGGACAAAAGAGAAAGGGTAAGGAAGGAGGTACAGTGATCACCAAAACAAAAAGAGTAAGAAACTAAGGATTGCAAGACCAAGGGACTCTGATATTTGGTGGATTCTCTAGGCCTTTTTTAACAGGGATACTTCCATTAAAAATTGAAGTGATTCTCAACATTTATATGAGCATTTTTAGTCATTAGATGCTTTTTATGTGCATTCTCTCTTATCAAAAAGCTGCAAAAATTTTCAACTTATTTCTGTTGGGTGCAGGAAGAAGAGGACGAATAAATTGGAGGAAGGATTAATTACCTGAAAGAACATCTAGGAAACATATGCAGGCATGGGATTCCAGAAATGATAAGAATCTCACCTGAGGTCCAAACAAAAGAAAAGGCACACACATATATCTTGGCCTGGCACAGTGACTCATGCTTGTAATCCCAGCACTTTTGGAAGGGAGGCAGATGGATCACTTGAGCCCACAATTTCGAGCCCAGCCTGGGCAACATGGTGAAACCCCATCTCTACAAAAAATACAAAAATTAGCCAGGTCCAGTGGCACATGCTTGTAGTCCCAGCTTCTCAGGAAGCTGAGGTGGGAGAATCACCTGAGTCCGGAGGTGAAGCTTGCAGTCAGCCGAGATTGCACCACTGCACTCCAGCCTGGGTAACAGAGCAAGACCCTATCTCAAAAAAATAAATAAACATATACATACATACTATCTTTACCATGTTTTAAACCCTAATACATTCTAAAGATGGAATTATGAATTTTTAATGTTTTCTTTTTTGTAACCCAAATAAAACTGGATATTTCGTGATTAGTCACAATACAGTTTTGCATTCAAAAGAATCCAAAATCCAAAATAAAACATTAAAAAGCAACATACATTTTTATGGAATTCTTTTGAAGAGAGTGGGAAGAGTTATTAAATGGCATGACACTTGTGAAAACATCTTTAAATTCATATATATATGTATTTCTTCTCAGTTTCACAGAACACAGCTAGGCAGATACATACAAAATTTTGTCCTTCTTTCCCTCCCTCCACCCCCAGCTCTCTGCTTTGGTTGTCTGTTCTGTTCTTCCAATTGCACTGGGCTCTTTTGACTAAAAATTATTTCAGTCTTTCTGTCCTTACAGTTCTGCAACCTCACATTTTCTCAATTAACACAGCAAAACACTAGATCCTGTCTTCCTTCGAAAGCGAAGGGAATGGGAAAAGGTGTGATTACTTAATCAGACTCTATGTTACAGACTCTATCATATCTGTACTTTCTAAATCTTTTTAATGAATATGTATAACATTATAATTACAAATGCATATTTCCTTTATTTTTTTCAATAAAACACAGGTCTTTAAAATGTACCTTAAAAGACTGTACTTCCAAGGATCATTTCTGTAGTGAATTATTAGAGAACATTCTCTGAAAGGGTAGAGCATCGAAGAAGGACAAAAACAATACAATCATGTCAATCGATGCAGAAAAAGCATTTGATAACATTTAAAATCTCTTCATGATAAAAACTCTCAACAAACTAGGCATGGAAAGAACATACCTCAACATAATAAAGGCCAAAAATGACAAATCCACCACTAACATCATGCTGAATGGAGAAAAGCTGGAAGCCTTTCTTCTAGGAACTGCAACAAGACAAGGATGCCCACTGTATTAGTCTGTTCTCACGAAGACTAATATGGGGCTATATTAAATTACCCAGACTTGGGTAATTTACAAAGAAAAAGAGGTTTAATAGACTTACACTTCCTCATAGCTGGGGAGGCCTCACCACCATGATGGAGGTGAAGGAGGAGCAAAGGTGTATCTTACATGGCAGCAGGCAAGAGAGTGTGTGCAGGGGAACTGTCCTTTATAAAACCATCAGATCTCACGAAACTTACTCACTATCACAAGAACAGCATGGGAAAACTCACCCCCATGGTTCAATTACCTCCCACCAGGTCCCGCCCACAACACATGTGAGGATTATGGGAGCTACAATTCAAGATGAGATTTAGGTGGGGACACAGCCAAACCATATCACCCACTTTCACCACTCCTATTCACCATAGTACTGGAAGTCCTAGCCAGTGCAGTCCATCAAGAGAAATAAATTAAGGGCATTCAAATTTGAAAAGAGGAACTCAAATTATCCCTCTTTGCAGATGACATGATCAGATATCTAGAAAAACCTAGAGACTCCAACAAAAAACTCTTAGATTTGATAAATAAATTTAGTAAAGTTTCAGGATACGATATCAATATATAAAAGTTAGTAGCCTTTCTATACACCAATAATGATCTTGCTGAGAAGGAAATCAAAAATCTCATTTACATAGCTACCAAAAGAATACCTAAGAATAAATTTAACCAAGGAGGTGAAAGACCTTTACAAAGAAAACCACAAAACACCAGTAAAATAAATTGAAGAGGATACAAATAGAAAGACACCTGGTGCTCATGAATGTTAAAAGTTAATATTGTTAAAATAAGCATGCTCCCCAAAGCAATCTACAGATTCAATGCAATCTCTGTGAAAATACCAAAGTCATTTTTCACAGAAATAGAAAATATAATCCTAAAATTTATGTGGAACCGAAAGAAATTTATATGGAGCCCAAATAACCAAAGCAATCCTGAGCAAAAAGAACATAGCTAGAGGCATTACACTACCTGACTTCAAAATATATCACAAGGATATAGAAACCAAAACAGCAAGATATTGGTATAAAAACAGACACATAGAACAATGGACCAAAATAGAGAACCTAGATATAAATCCATGTATTTACAACCAACTGATTCTTAACAAAGGCACCAAGAACATACGTTGGGAGAAGGACAGTATCTTCAATAAATGGTTCTGGGAAAATTGAATATCCATATGCAGAAAAATGAAACTAGACCTCTATCTCTCATCTTATCCAAAAATCATCTCAAGGCCAGGCACAGTGGCTCACGCCTATAATCCCAGCACCTTGGGAGCCTGAGGCAGGAGGATTGCTTGAACCCAGGAGCTTGGGTCTAGCCTGGCAGCATAGCAAGACCCTGTCTCTACCAAAATTTAAAATCAAAAAAAATTTAAAATCAACTCGAGAGATTAAAGACTTAAATGTAAGACTCAAAACTACAAAACTACTTGAAGAAAACCAGAGGAAACACTTCAGGACTTTGGTCAAGGCAAAGATTTTATGGCTAAAACATCAAAAGCACAGCAACAGAAACAAAATAGACAAATGGGGCTATATTAAATTTAAAAACTTCTGTGCAGCAAAAGAAACAATCAACAGAGTAAAGGGACAACCTGTTGAATGGGAGAAAATATTTGCAAACTATTCATCTGACAGGGGATTAATATCCAGGATACACAAGGAGCTCAAGAAACTCAACAGTAAAATAATAATAATAATCCCATTAAAAAGTGGGCAAAGAACATGAATACACATTTTGCAAAAGAAGATATACAACTGGCCAATAGGTATACAAAAAATGCTCAACATCACTAATAATCAGAGAAATGCAAATTGAAATCACAATGAGATGCCATCTCACATCAGTCAGAATGACTGTTACTAAAAAGACATAGAATAACAGATGCTGGTGAGGCTGTAGAGAAAAGGGAACATTTGTAGATCATTGGTGGGAATGTAAATGAGTCCCACCACTATGGAAAATAATATGAAGATTTCTCAAAAAACTGAAAATAGAACTACCATATGATCTAGCAATCCCACTATTGGGTATTTATCCAAAGGAAAAGAAATCATCTTATCAAGTGTATACCTGTGCCCGTATGTTTATTTCAGCACTGTTCTCAATAGCAAAGATATGGAATCAATCTAAGAGGATGAATGGATAAAGAAAATGTGGTATAGGCTGCTCTGCCTATGGGGTAGCCATTCTTTTATTAATTTACTTTCTTAATAAACTTGCTTTCATTTTACTCTGTGAACCCAGAATTCTTTCTTGCATGATGTCCAAGAACCCTCTCTTGCAGTCTGGATTGGGACCCCTTTCCCGTAACATCTTCCTGGAAAACCATGACGGGACTATAGTGAGAAGACCCCCAACTCAAAGGAAATGGACTGCAGCAACAATTGGCTGACTTTGGGTAAGAGGGCGGGTACATTTCACCAGGGTAAATGATGGGATTGGGTTAGAGACCCAATTTAGGAGGGTTAGAATCCCTCCTAAGACAAAGAGGGCTAAAGGCCCCTTTTAATAAAAAGCAAGGACACTTGACCAAACTTGGTTTCAAGTCCCAGCTTAGGAAGGTTAGAGTCCTTCCTAAGATTTAGGGGGTTAAAGGCCCCGCTCAGTAAAATCTCTCAGTTAAAAATAGATTTGACATTATGGGATGTTAACCACTATTCTCTTTGGATTAATCTGCCTTACACTCTTTGCTGATGGCTATGGGTGACAGAATTAGGATCACAGGACATGGAGAGCTTTTCTCTCCCCTAAGGAAGAAACTTGAGAGCTTATGGGACTGCTGGAAAAGATACCTTTGTGACTGACAAGCAGCTGCCTGAACTTTTGATTCACTGTCATTGCAATGGGCAACAGTGGGTCTTTCTCTGGCCTCCCTGAGCTCCTCACCTTCCTCACCACACTGCAGGCAATGCTTTTCTCTGTCTTTCTCTCCTTTCCTTTTCCTATCTTGTCTGTTACTCAAGGAGACCATCTGCTCTTCCATCTTGCCCAGAGGCTACATGTTGAAACTCCTGGTTAGAGGTCATTCCACCCCACTTTGAATGGATCAAAGATAGCAGGGCCCAACCAGGGGCAAGTTTGAGCCTCACCAGTTCAATATTGGGCACTAAACAGGGTGGCTAGTGTCTGTGTTTTGTCAAACGTATTTTGCTCTGGCCAGAATGGAAAATGTGAATTTGGTTAACCCATGCAACCCCTCGGATGGCATCTTGTAAACTTGATCGGCTTTTGCCTATGGTTCTATGAAACAGAAAAAGATGGCTTTCCTTTGTGTTGTGGCTTGGCACCCAGGGTTATATTGTGGCAAAAAGGGT